AGATCATCTTTCAAGATATCCCAACAGTCCTAATAAAAAGCCATTGAGAACCCATCCGGCCCTGGAGCTTTTGTTCTATCCATAGAAAACACAACCTCCTTGATCTCTTCTADAKTAAAGCTTCTTTMCAWCCTTCTCCTGTTCTCCACCCCTACATCTGGCCAATCCAATCCTTCTACCCACACCCTTCTACTCACAGGCCTTCTTAGGATAGACAATTCCTTCTACTCATAGGCCCTAAATCTATCCTACTAGTCGTATCGCAACCTTCCACTTGGTGTTCTGCACTATTCTCAAGGTTTACAAAATTTTCATCACATCTTACCTCTTTTCTCCTTCCTTAATAATCATTGACTTGACCTCACCTCCTATTTCATTCTCTTGCATTTTTTTTCCTTTGAACTGAAGGCTTCAGTTGATCCTCTCACATCTTTCTCTTTGTTTTCTCTTCTCTTCTCACCATGCGTTTGAAGACTCTGACCAGTTGAAATGATCTTTTGTTTATTCCTTATCTTGTAAAAAATTTCATAATGCACCAGATGTAATCTCCCTCACCTTCAATCTTCAAGTCTTTCTTCTCTCCTTCCTTCAACTCTCCTTTCTTCCTTTCCCAGTCATTTTGGTCAAATCTCGCCCTAGTCTCAACTTCCCAACCATAACCAAACAAGTCCTGTTAAAATCAACCTACCCGCAGCTCAAAGCAACATAAAAGCAAAAGAGGCCCATCTCTATTTAATCCCCTGTCTGGCCCACCTCAATGCCCCAAACCAGATGGCCCACATCGCTCCCCCCCTCCCCTTTCTCTGACCCCTAAACATTACTCAGCCCACTTTTAAAGTCAAAAACACTTTTCATAGTATCCTCCTTCATTTCCAAAATTACCACTTTAAACTCCCCAACCTTTCATCTTCATCCCTTACCTCTCACCCCCCCCCCATCTTGACTCCACTTGTTCATCTTCCTTACCCTCATTGTCCTCTAAACTTCGCTTAGAGAAACCTTATTATTCTTCTCTACCCCTTTCAAAATTGTAACGGAAAATGTAGGATCTGTTTCTTTAAGCATTATTCTCTAAGGGTGCAACTTGGGTTGCCCAAGTTAGCATTTTACACTGCTTTGGATTGGGCTTTCAGGTAGGGCCCATTCAAATTTTGATAAAAGCCCAACCCAAGCCCACCCAAGTTGCACCCCTACTGTTCTCAATTCAAGTTGTTCCCCTGCATAAAGTAAGTCTATTCTTGTAGGAATCAAACATAAATCTTCAACATCAATCAGTATTCCCACATACTGCACCTGAAGCCAGAACCTATTGCAAAAATCAAACCTCTAAAATTTTCCAACAGCTTCATCAACCGATCTGAAAGTCTGGCTACCCCAAGAATGCAATAGAACCCAAACACATTTTATCCAAATAAATGATGTCTCCTCTGAAGTCTTCAATTGCCCAACCTCGACCTATCTATCAAGTCTTAGCTTCGGAAATCTCACCGCACCTCTTCTCTCCCTCTCCAAAACTCTCTGCTCTTTTTCTCTTGAAGCTAAACAAAAATAAGCCTGTGTTTAACCTTCTTACCTGCAAGAAACCAAAACGAAACCACTCTGTGTGTGCCCATCTCTGAACATCAACAGTATCTGGATCTGAGTGCATAAACCATCTGACCAAGCATCAATAAAGAAACCCTATCCTTTGACAGCTTCCCAACCTCTTTCACCACCACTTTGACCAATGCCATCTTTTGTTCTTCAAATCAAAAAAATAAAAAAAAATCCTTTGTCTGAGAAAATTTTTCTGAAAAAAAATTCTCAAACAATACTTGTAACTGTTTATTGGAGACAACTAAACTAAATATACTAACAATTGGCTATAGGGCTCAAAAAATTCAGACTCGAACCTTCTGATTGTAACTGTTTTGTGAGAAAAGGTTTTACAACCCTGTCAATTTCTAGAGATTTCTAAAAAAGTTTATAAACTATATTATGCACAGCTTCTCATAATTCATAGCAAATTTGGTCCAAGCTTCGTCTCAATACACTATTTCTTCACTGCTGAAAGGTTTTTTCTTTCACCTACATGGAAAACTCCATAATTAGTAAGAATATATCAATAGATGTTCATGCACTAAAAAATTATTTGATAACGTCTGATATGCAACAGCCATCCTGTATTCTTGTAATTAGCGCACCTGCAAAAATATGGGAGAATAGTTGCTTGATGTTTGTGCAGGCGATGAACTACCAGCTGGTGATGATCCTGATGAGGAGCGCATGGGTGATGTTGGAATATTCCCACCTGAAGATTGTCGAAAGAGCTCTGGAGGCATGTTACTGTTTCCAGATATTGTTGGCATTCCCATGCGATCTGAAAATGGATGGCCAAATGCAAGCCAATCCTTTTCAACTAGTGCCTGTAAGATGCCACATTCTAATTACTATTTTAGGCAATTCCGATATGTGCAACTAAGCTAATGATATTATGTTTGTAACCTAAATTACATTTCTAACATTGTATCTGTCCAGGAGCATAAATGTAAAAAGACCGGGCCGAATGGGCCCTAACAGCCTCTCATGTGATATCCTTTATTTTATCTCTTATTTTATGTTGATGGGCCTCACTTAATGGGCATGTTATTTGTACTTATTTTACTTTCTTTATGTAACTGCCAAGCTGGCCGCCCACTTAAGGGTATACTTGTCATCATCAATTTTTTAGAGATTAATAAAAAATAGGGTTAGAGGAGAAGGGTGATTAATTCGAC